TTTGGGAGGCGCTCCCCCCCCCCCCCCCCCCGCTCTCTATTAGATCATTTTATTTGGTATGTCAAAGTTTTGTTTACATGCAAAGTTAAATAATTTGGACTGGAGGCTTCAGTAAGGATATGATACTGTGCTATGATATCTCAACCCAAATATCATCTCATCAAAAATGAATCAAAATCATCCCAACAATCAGATGAATTTTCAGAAAGTACAAAAAATAGAGGAACAATGTGCTGTCTAGCTTAATCAATTTATTTTAGGTTTTAAAATATTTGATCTTTAATGAGTTAAGAAATAAAAGGTCACCATATAATTTACTATGACCTTGTTTACCCTATTTACACTATGGCGCCGGATGATGATGTGTCTGGTCACTATTATTTTTGTTAAAAAATAGTGAACACCAAAACATTTTTTTTACCATATAGTCACAGTATGACATCGATACAATCTTTTTTTTCTCCAGTTGTGTGTTTAGCAGATGCATGTTGTAAGTCGAGCCGAATCTATAGAAATAAGAAGCGTGACCTCTTAATTTCTTCTCTCTCTCAAAGCTCTGATTCATATTAGCATAAGCAACTAAAAATGTTTGGAGCTTAAAAGAGTTTCCCACCGGAACATGCAGCCAAGCCAACTGGCATGATAAATCTAGCTGTTATTGGGATATAAAGTTAAAACCGAAGTGCCCTTATTAATGCTCATTTCTTTATGGGGGAAAAAACATCCCAATAACTTCATATATTAGAGGTCAACCGATATTCGGTGCTGCTTTATGACCTTATTGACAATAGTAAACTCTCTCATCTAATAACATTTACTAGTGATCTGAAAATATAGACACATTTTTTAAAAACACAGAATCACAGAACATAATTTATTTTGAAATCATATGATTGTATTATATCAGTCGACCTCTATCTATATTGCTGAAGTGAAGGGTCTCCACGTATTCACTTCTCTGATTCATATTAGCATAAGCAACTAAAAATGTTTGGAGCTTAAAAGAGTTTCCCACCGGAACATGCAGCCAAGCCAACTGGCATGATAAATCTAGCTGTTATTGGGATATAAAGTTAAAACCGAAGTGCCCTTATTAATGCTCATTTCTTTATGGGGGAAAAAACATCCCAATAACTTCATATATTAGAGGTCAACCGATATTCGGTGCTGCTTTATGACCTTATTGACAATAGTAAACTTTCTCATCTAATAACATTTACTAGTGATCTGAAAATATAGACACATTTTTTAAAAACACAGAATCACAGAACATAATTTATTTTGAAATCATATGGTTGTATTATATCAGTCGACCTCTATCTATATTGCTGAAGTGAAGGGTCTCCACGTTAGCTCTTCAGAAAAATATTCACTTACCATCTTGGAGTTCTAGACAAAGAAATAATAACAAAACAGCAGACTATGACTATTTCTCTGTTTGATTATTTGTAACAGTTTTCATTTTGCCTTTATTTTCACGTTTCAAAGAGTTGAAACGAACATTTTGCAATTTGACTTATGACTAAAACTAATAAAAACACAAGTAAAAAAGATATAGCAAAGCAATGCTGTAAAAAAATATAGACAAACAACATGAAAATACCATAAAAGTAGATCAGATAATAAAGTGAGTGGCATGCTTCCCTGAAATGATTACACTTTAAGATGAGTCTAGTTCTGTAAAATTGTGAAACAAAATGTGGCATTGCAAATGTAGAAAATAAAGTCTGGTGTCATTTGACAACCAGCTTACTGAGTGTTGTCTCAAAACAGTGCTTCAGCTGATGTTAAATATCAACCCAGCCAGATAGAAATGTGCCATAAAAAGAGTCAATTTACCTAGATCACCTTTTCAGTCAGCAGAGAAGGTTTCAAAGATACAAAAAGAGCAAAAACACAGAAAAGGTTTGTGTTTTATTTTCGTCTGTTTTGGGAAATAACAGCTATAGCATGCAAAATGGGTCATTCCTGTTCTGCCGTACCTTTTAAACTATGGAAGCAAACAGATTTCTTTTGGCATCGCCACAAAACATAAAAGAATCCTTCAAATCCATTGCTCACACTCACAAATGTTTGTACCAGTGCAAAATACCAGTCCGTAATCCATAATAACACTTCCTCCAGAGAAAAAGTGCATTTCCTGTTGTCCTCTCACATCAAAATCCACCCACATATTTGTTTTGAACTGTTTTTACTTGTAAACGGTTCTTGATTTGTCCATATTTCTATCCTGATTCAGACAAGACAACATTTTCTTTAGAGGACATGTTTTTTTAGCTGTAAGCAACGGTTTGAAGTTAAAAACATCTTAATGATGGATTTGATTCTTACAAACAGCTTTTGGCTTCACAAGATGTTAACTGATGGACTGGAGTGGTGTGCATTACTTGTGGATTATTGTGATGTTTTTATCAGCAGTTTGGACTCTCATTCTGATGGCACCCATTCACTGCAGAGCATCCATTGGTGAGCAAGTGATGGAATGCTACATTTTGCAAAATCAATGAAGAAATAAACTAATTTGGATAGCCTGAGGATACATTTTCAGCTACATTTTCATTTTTGGATGAACTGTTCCTTAAATACATTGTAAATATATTTTCTTTTTTTCATTTTAGAAGTTCAAGTGTATAACAAAGTAGTGAATTCTTTAAAATTCATGTCTATGTTGTGATTTTTGAATGAAAGAAAACTCTGGATTAGTTAATATTTTATCTAACATATTAGGTCATCTATGATGGGGACACGAAAATGTACTGCATACTAGGAATGACCCATATCCAGCCTCTCTCTCTCTCTCTCGCTCTCCTCGTACCTGAGCAGTTCTTCTTATAATTTGTGTTTTCTTGTGGATGTCCCGGGAGGCGGCACTGGAAACGATGCTGCCAGAATTCAGCAAACCAGGGGTTTCTATTGTTGGTGTTGAGCCGTAACTTCAGGTAATAGTCATCGAAGGACGTGACCTCCTCCGACTGTAGCTTCATAGTGATGCCGCCCACAGCTTCCTGCTCGTAGCCCTCCACGACCTCATCCCTGTCCGCCCAGCCGTCACTGAAGGAAACGTGTCTAATTAATTACCTAATTACCACCAGCTTCCTTTTCAATCTTTCACCTGCAATGCCTGAATAACACTGATGCTTGAGTGCATTGACCTACTTTAGCACAGGCTAAAGAACAGACAAAACATACTTTGTGTTAGACATTCGTCGTTACTGTTGTGATGTGATGATAGTTGCCAACAGATTGATATAACCTTCTCTGATGCTTTTAGCTACAACATTCAAGGTAAAATATTGCACAACTGGCTTACTTTGCAATGCATAAACTGCTTTTTCAGGCATATCAAAAGAGCATGAACATTTATTTGAGCTATATAATAGCAGGATGTAATCCCAGGCTGTTTTTTTAGTCCCAGTCCATCTCTTCTTGAACGAGTGTTGTTTAAGATCATAATGAAGGTGTCTTTCTGTGGTCATGGTATCATCAGCACCATCTGCCTCTCAGCATCTTCTTGGCAGCATGCCAAAAACGGACTATTATTAGTTGACACTTCATATTTCACCGATGACAATTTACCACGAGCAGCTGACAAGCATTGTGTGTTCTCAAAGTGATTACAGTGTAGCGTCTGGACCAATCAGGCACACCATTTTTCATTTATTTAACAAATCAATTATTCATTAGATTAACAAACATTCACAGACCCCTCACCCAATAAACATACTGGGTGCCAAGATGTCTGTGAACGAGGCCCAGGACCCTGGTCCCCATGGCAACCATGACACCTTTGCTAGACCAGATACATTTACAACCTAATGGCATGTTGAGAAGTACCCCTCTCACTACAATTTCCAAGTTTAAGTGTTTATGTAGTATGGTGGACTAGTTTAAGTGTTTATGTAGTTAATAAAGTCTTACTTGTATCACACTTGACGTTGTTCATTGTTTGCTCATAACTGGAGTCCCTAATCATGCAGATTTATGCTACAGGCTCTGTGTAGAGTTGTACAGTAAGAAAGTTATTTCCCTTAACCAGGAAATTAACGTTCTTAGAATTGACAGACAGTTGACCCTGAGAGGTCAAGTAAATATCTACAGCGGATCTAAATATTTATAATTAATTATAACTAGTTATGATTAATTATTCATATTTCCCCATGAGCTGATTCGCTACAACAGCAAAGAAATGCCACAATCAAGTTCTTCAACTTCAGGCACTTTTATGTCCTGGAAGTTGATTTTAATTAAAACCAAAAGATTTTAGATTTTACTTTTTAATTCAAAGGCCATTTTCGACGTTTCAATTACAGTTACAACCTTTCAAGTACATTTTTTTCAAACTCTACTCTTATAGACAGGGCTAATCTAACAGCTAGTATCAAATGAAGTTAGTATAACGCAATTAAAACACATAACAACTCAGTACAGTTTTATACATCATTTGAAAGAGCCACAGCAGCGTCGAAGATGCAATACACACTGATTTGCATTATCCGCAGTAGCCTAAAATGATTTTTAGTCACAGTGATGAACACTTTAGAAGCACTGCTTCATGACGCTTCAGAACCTTTGCGAATCATTTGTTTCGAACCACTGGTTCAGAGCGTGTAGCTATCAAACTGACAAATGGTATTTGATGATTTGTTGATTGCATTTAATGCAACTGCAATGCAACTGAAACGTTCCCAGTACCAGAAAGGTAGTAAGGACATTGTTAAAATAGTCCATGTGACATCAGTGGTTCAACCATAATGTTATGAAGCTACGAGAATTCTTTTTGTTTCTCTTTGCGCACAAAAAGTAGTCTCGTAGCTTCATAACATTACGGTTGATCCACTGATGTCACATGGACTATTGTAACGATGTTCCTACCTTTCTGGGCCTGGGAACGTTTTAGTTGGATTGCTGTCTATGCAGGGTCAGAAAGCTCTCAGATTTTATCAAAAATATCTTAATTTGTGTTGCGAAGATGAACGAAGGTCTTACGGGTTTGGAACGACATGAGGGTGAGTAATTAATGACAGAATTTTCATTTTGGGGTGAACTATCCCTTTAACTGGGTGTGACTAGTATGTCATTCATGAAGTTACTAAAGTATATGGCTTTGAATTAGCCTCCTTTAAAACAGTCTCCTTGACCCAGAATAAAGCAGCCTTGGCCAATTGATGTTCCTCTTTTCAGTCCATAGAGACTGCTTTGGTGTCAAGACAGATTTATAAAATACTTTACACCAACAAGAGAGGGTTCTGCTGATTAAAAAAACTAAAGGGACAGTCATCCATCATTTTAATCTCATTAAGAGAAACATGCAGCATCAGGAAATCATGATCATTTCTAAGCAGAATCCCTCTGATAGATCTGGTGCTTTATGAAACTATCAAGGATTATGCTTTAATGCCTCTAAATGTCCCCAGTGTCCCTGAAGTGTCACATTTCATTAAATTAAAAACTAAACGTATATTCACCTGCCAATGAGGAGGAATTCTCCAGCTACACCAAGGCGTCTCATGGCCATGAGAAGACTACGAACAGTCATCCCCTCACAGAAACACACCACCACACGAGCTTTTGGCAGACGCTCTCGCAGTTTCCTCAGCAGTCGGTCAAAGTGTTTCTCCCCAGCATTGCTGTAGATCTTGTCAGAATGGGCGATACACAGACCTTCCTGGGATGCCAATTCCTTAAAGGCCTCCATCCCACTCTCTCCATAGTTCCCTGAGGAACGACATCCAACACAATAGCATTTGCATCAGAGAGTCTCTCATTGCCTCAGTCCAGCTCACCTGAGACTGCAGTCTTCAAAGTTCCTTTGCTGACCAGAAGAAGACTGCAGATTGCCTTTAGTCTGATTTACTGCTGAGATTATGGCCCATAATTGGGCTAAATAAGCAGATTTGCCTATTCAGAATTTAAGAACTGGCTCCTTTCAATTCATGAGTGTAACAACCACATAATATGGAATAGGATTTGAATGTATTTCTGAATGTATTTTTATACATACAGTGGGTACGGAAAGTATTCAGACCCCCTTAAAATTTTCACTCTTAACAATATTGCAGCCATTTGCTAAAATCATTCAAGTTAAGTTTTTTTCCTCATTAATGTACACACAGCACCCCATATTGACAGAAAAACACAGAATTGTTGACATTTTTGCAGATTTATTAAAAAAGAAAAACTGAAATATCACATGGTCCTAAGTATTCAGACCCTTTGCTGTGACACTCATATATTTAACTCAGGTGCTGTCCATTTCTTCTGATCATCCTTGAGATGGTTCTACACCTTCATTTGAATCCAGCTGTGTTTGATTATACTGATTGGACTTGATTAGGAAAGCCACACACCTGTCTATATAAGACCTTACAGCTTACAGCAAATGAGAATTATGATGAGAATCATGAGGTCAAAGGAACTGCCTGAAGAGCTCAGAGACAGAATTGTGGCAAGGCACAGATCTGGCCAAGGCTACAAAAAAAATTCTGCTG